TACGGTGCTTATATTATCGAGGCTTCAAAAGCTTCAAAACAAAAAACAAAAGAAAACTAAAAATTCAAAAATTAAAAAATAACCAACCTCCTGTCTCTCACGTCGTCTCCTGTAAAATTTTCTGTTTTGCTAGCAAATTCGAGGCTTTTTTTGCAGCAATATGATCTTAACTGAATAGTTTCGAATGAACGAGGGAAAAACTACTGCGGGGTGGCTCTTTAGAAGAATCATTTAAAACTTTGGCACTTCCTACTGTCCGAAGCTTTACGCAAGTCATAATGACGCAGCCTTGAATCGAACCAACCTTTTCGGCTTCCGACTTGAAATGTGGTCCGCCCTAATTGTATTGGTAATTTACCGCTAAACGAAAATGTTACTCAATTCACAAAATTATCTTACTGACCTTTACAGTCATTGACTCGATGACCTAAATGGAAAGGTCCTCCATCGAATGAGAGTTTTTCCATGAGCTTGAACAAATCACCTTCGGTTTGTTCCTCGCACAAAAAAAAAAGTTTTTCTATTCGTTTTAAACTCTGCTGGTTTAAGCTTACATTGTCTCATAATTCATGGGGTTCAGAGGGTAAAATTAATGAAGTACCTGATGATAATACGAGAAGATGAGGTCCAACGAATTTCATATTCAAACTGCTAGGACTTTACGTCTAGAAAAAAGTCTAGATACCTAACTACTGAAGGTTCTCAAAATATCGAATACAAACGTACCTCGACAATAAAAGATCATATTTGAATACTGAATTGAAAAGACATAGTCAAAGTGTATTTATGAATCAATACGAGCTTCCTAAGGGTCAAACATGTCGGAAAGCTACTTCTGCGGTTTTACAAATTGAAAAGCTTGAGGAAAAAGACACCTTAACATTTAGCGCACAGCCGATAGTGAGAGCTTTTTTGTAATGACTAAACCTTTTCGTAAAAGTCCACACGTTTCTTTGAAAATCTGTTATTTATCAGAAGAAATATGGCAACATCAAATAATTCCAAAGCTATTTTTCGCAACATAACTACCTATAGTGTACATAGAGCCGCAGAGATAGATAAAGAGTGTAGGAAGTTCTATCGATCGAAGTCGTAGAAGTAGTGTGTACCGATTCAGGATTGGAGCGCCTTCAATTGGAGTGATACTTCTCGCTTTGCCGTTACGTTAGTTTAGTTGCGTGACCTAACTTAACCCAACCTGCCTTTATTGCGACGGATTAGAATAACACATCTAGGGCATATTCAATCACAGCAAAGCCAAAACTTGTTTCAACTTCCCAGAATTACTTCTGCAGTATAATGTTTACGAGGAAACTCATCAAATTGTTCCTCTCGAAGTTCTCCCTGAATTTTTGTCACTATGTAGGTTTGACATGTGAACGAAATCTCGGCTCCCATTCGATCGATTTTTGTAATACTTAGTATCAGTGGAAGTGTTAAGGTGGAAAACTCAAAGCTGTAGGCATATTTTCAAAATCTAAAAATTAGAGATGGTGAATATGACCTAAAATACTATCTCAGGTCCTGTTCAATCGACTTTATTGACCTCCTTGTCTTCGATCAATTTTTTTCACTGTTCAGAGAAATACGTTATTTTTTTTCCTTTTTTCTTAGAAAAAAAAAACCATATACGTTTTTGTGTTGATAATCAATCATGTTTGATCAATTGATAAATTAATACCTAATTGAAACCTATATACACTAGTGATTGGAGAATATGTGTTTCTTATTTTTGTAAACCAAGCACCATTTTAGATATTAATATGAAATTTGAAGAACTAATGATAATGGCATTATAATGTGATTTTAAATATACATAAAAGTATATTTACACTGAACAAGTTTAAACACTCGCTGACCACTTTTATCAAACCTACGTATGTTATTCCCACCTGTCTTATGTTTTCTTCTTCTTAATTATTGTTGTGTATAAGTGAATATCGGCAAAAAAAGCACCTACATGCACGAAGGGAAAGTTTCCGAAACATGACACTTTCGAAGTTGCATGGAAAAATTGGGAAACGCAGATAACTTTTTCGCCATATGCTACGGGCTAAAATATGTTAGGTAGTCGATGAGTTGCGCCAATAGAGAGGGTATGAGGTTGCTACAATGGGTTGTAACAATTTTTAGTCCCGAAAATTGCGCGTCATTAATGATTGGAATGTCTTTTTTGCAAAAAAAACGCATTTTTTTAAATAATCAAGACTCCGGTTTAAAGTGAAGAATCAGGTCGTTTTCATGTCAATAATAACAAGTTTTTTAGCTGTAAAATCAAAGCTCAATATTGCATTTTCCTATACCCTTAAGTGATTTTTCCCGAGGTCAAACACATGGAGTAGATGTTAAAATAAATTTATTGGAGACATGATGATTTGATGTACTGAATAGAACGTGGGGTGCGTTCTAAAATGGATTATGAAGATGGGGTAATCTAAAAAGAACCGTATTCTGAAACATGTCGAGTTCAGAGCTAACACTGACATCCATGCCCTCGGGGCTTTTATCGTGTAAAACATTGGGTGCTATTTCATCTTCGTTCCTTTTATAAGTAACGTCTTTCCGGCACAGCAGCAATATAATGGTGAAACGTTCACAGTAAATTTAACGCTGCGATCACCCCTCCCCCCTCTCCTCAGACACCCTTTCACGCCGTCTTTTTGCATTTTTATTTTAAGCCGTATATTTGTCTATCTAATTTCCTTTGAGTTCTCGGGCCGAATTTTTCGGAACGAATTTCATCAGCTCGTATTTTTTATGGGGCGAACTTAGTGTTTACAGGTTCTGAAGTGGGGATCATCGGAGTTTACGAGCTCGGCAGACGGATATTGTGAATGGTCTGGTAGCTGTGAGCTCACGAATCTAATTTCTTTAAACTTGTGTGCAATTTCATCTCAGGGACGTTGAATATTTTTGTGTGACTGATGAAATCACAAGCTAATTTGACCTGCTTTCATTTTACAAGTTTCATCTCAAGAGCATTTTTGAAAAATCACAAAATGAAGCATTTTAATAATTTCAGAGAGCTGATTTCTTCTTTCTGTGCTTTTGATACTACCATACGGTTGAAAAGTGCCTTATTTCCCTCATCGCCAATGTAGACATTCTCTCCTTAATTTGCATAGAAAAAAATGGATTGCTGATTTAACAATTAAATTGTTTAAAAATAAGTTCGACATATTTCAAAAAGACATTGTACAATCGAAAATCTTAATTAACCACGGGGGTGGTTAAATTAGCATTTTTTTCTAGTAAAATTTACATTCAAACATGTCGGACACTGTTTAAACTACAACATTGTTAAATTAGCAATTGCATGTTTTCCGTGCGGCTCTCTTTGACACATTGCTATCGGAATGTAAGGTCCCTTTTAACTGATCCTGTCACATTTACTCATTGATTGAAACAATCCATCTATGAATTTTCATTTTTATAAATAAGTATATCACAATAAACTTTTCCGCTTACTATGCGGGAAAATGATGATGCGTTAACGGGAGATGACGAAGTGAGAAAAGCAGTTTAATCAGGCAGTGCTACGTTTGGAATTATTTTTATTTTATTCGAGTCAATTTTTGAAATGATAATATTAAAATACTGTTGACAACAACGACTCTTAAACTAAGCTGCACAAATATTAGAGAATTATCTGCTCGGAAGCTATGTGTGGTGCTCTCGTCACGATTTAGCGATTTAGCTAGCCTCATGAATGAATGCTCAACGGTGTCAACTGTTCTAGTTGGGCTTCATTTAATTAAAAGCGACGTTGTCACATCGCGATGCAGCCGTGGTTTTGCAACACGAGGATTGGCGAGAGATCACGGAAGTTACCGACAGATTTCGCGATTTGGCAAATGTTTTCGCACTCTTCCGGTTCAGGTGGCCGATTAAGAAAATCAACGGATGATCGAACCAATCCCATTGTCGCTCAAGCCGTGGTTGCCAGGTTAGCAATGCTCCATCAATAAGCTTGGACTGAGTGAACAGTAAAATGACCGAATGTTTCACCGAGCAAGCTACCTTCGATTTCCAGTGGTAAATGTTTCAAAAAGCAATCTTGTCTTGTCAAAGATTCATCAACAAAATCGGAAAATTAGTTTACGGTAAAACTTTCTTTGTGCTAAAATGAACTATGTACAATTGAATGAAATCCAAACAGGGTATGTGGCACGCAAAACCCTATGTGCATAGTTCTTTTTGAATTATATACCATACCATCTATGGCATGGCGTTACTTATTCGTTACAATGGATTTTTCGGTTCTTTAAAAATGGAATCTTTCTTCTCTTATGAATTTTATTTTTCAAAAGAATGATTACCGAAAATTTGAAATTTAGATGAGATAATTTTTGGCTTCACGTTCACACGAAAGCTGCAACGTAGATCTGTGTCCCGCAGGATCCAAAATCCAGAAGTAATTCATGCCATAGAGGGGTTACTTAACTTTCTTTATAGCTCCTTTGAGCATGAACGAACATATATCAATTTAGTAAATTGGATGGTGAAATTGGATACTAAAATGAAATTGAGATATGTACGGAGTCCATATGGAACAACCAATGAAGCTGAATCGGATAGAGTGCACAGTGCTAGTTAAGCTAAGGTGTCACATTTGTATTGCAATGTTTCAAAATTTCATCTCCTATTTTAATTATTTGGAAGAAAACCGACTAGCATCCCCCTCGCAATCTCTTTCTTCCATGAGCAGGTTATTTCCATCATGTGAGGTGAAAATGTTGGAGAGCGCCATTCCGAAAATGTTCAGTAGAAGATTAGATTTTGAAACACTGCACTGTAGATGTGACCTTTTTGCTTAACTCTTCTCAGTCGATATTCAATCTATTTTCATTTGAGGCATTGAAAGCAGTTATGCTATTTTTATCTAATTCTGTGCAACACAGAATTCCTATAGTGACGTCAGTACTATTAGCATCAACAGTGAGGATGAAGTAGGTAGGGGTAGGGAGGGGGCAAGTGATGGATAATTTTGACTGCCTTACTTTATTTGCGTCTAGTTTTTCCAGCTGACTGCTCAATTCTTCAGCCTCCTTGCCGCCATCGCCTTCTGGCTTATCGTCTTGAACTTGTTTCCGAGCCATGTGACCCCGGAACGACGCCTGGATCTTCGTTGCAGCGTCCGTCAGCTCTGCAATTATCATTAAAACCACATTAACTTGCAGTGCGATTGAATAATATATATTGGGCCAATAGACAAGGTGCGAATTTAAGCAGCATCATATATGTGGCCCGAACTGTGAAAAAAAACCTTATCATCTATAAATTCAGAGAGTGATTGGTAGTTTTGCATAGAGACAGAAAATCTGGGCATTTTGACACAAGTTTTACTCTGGAAACCCGAGAACAGAAGGGTATAAGACCTCTTTATGTTTCGAGGAAAAAATTATTAAGTTTTAGGTTAAACTTTTGGGTTGAAGTTTGTAGTTAAAAGGTGAGAAGTTCTGACGTGCACAGCCCTGTGTTCGAAAAATGAACTTAAAATCGCGCCTAGCTTATTTCCATGGCTTCTGGAGAACGTTCCCCATTGAGAATTCAAAAACTCTTATTTTTCCCTTTTTCCCTGAACTCAGATCTCCTGCATGTTTTGCTTCCGGATAATAAGATAAGTTAGTTAGTTAGTATATTTTAAGACACTCAGCGTCACAGGCTATTAACGTCTTTACAGATAATTTTGAAAATGGATAAGGTTCCTTTTCATAGATCCTGCCATACATATATTTACCGTCAGTTTACATTGAATACGATGTTTACAACTAAAAATATAGGCATATGTTAACCTTTAATCAAGATTAATGCTTTTAGATACATAAATTCACACATCCCGCTCATGAAAAACCATAATCTATTGAATTAAAGCATACAAAAAGGTAGCCACAACAGTCTCGGCGGTATGAAAGTGTGGCAATAATTTCAATCTTGGCACTTCAACTCAACTGCTGCGCGTTCCTTACACGTTGAATAACACAGGAGAGGGTAGGGGCGTGAAAATTTAACTTTTCATCACTAGAGGTGAATAAAAAAGTTAATATCTTGGCTAGGAGTTAATTGCAGAAATTTTTGCACAAATTTTACTTTACTTTTACTTTACTTTTTTACAGAGAGATTTCTCAACAAAGCTGTCCGAAAATTTCACTGAGTTTTCTTTGTGCTGCCGGCAAAATTCGGTGAAATTTTCAAACAGAATCAACCAACTATCTTTCTTTAAAATATAAAATGTTAGCGGAAATTTTTGAACGTCACATGCCGCTTGTCTTACATTTTCCGGAAGGTGACGATGTATGAATCTTATTATAAACTAGGTAGAGGTCTTAATTGGAACATTTTTTAACACAGAATTGGACGATGAACTTTTTTTTCCTCTTTCAGTCTTTTACTTATCTTCTGCTCGGAATTGAGCTAATTTTCATTCATCTTGCATCTCTATTCCCAACAAATCTACGTCAATTTTGGTCGGGAGCTCTTTAGGAATATTTATGAATTATTTTCCAGAGCATTAGCACTCTTAAAGGGTGTCAATGTCGCCGGCGTTTTATTAATCGTTTCCTCGCGGATGAAAATCCACTTCGTCGCAACTGCCTGCTATCTGCAAATGGATCTCATTCTATTCAGAGCGGGTGTTTCATGAATTATGAAAAATGTGCTCGAATTGAAAGATAATATTAGGAGTGAGGAAAGGGGTACGGCACGGGAGTTCAACACCCCCTGGGCTTTGCGAATGAAGTCGGCTGCCTCGAGTCTGAGACAGTCGCCCTCCAACGAGATCCATTGCAGTCCTCAAAGAAAATATCACACCAAAGAACACTGCTGCAACGTTGGCGGTAAAAATTTCAATTTTCTCCACTGAAAAAAAAGTTACACCGGCGTTAAAAAGTTAAAGTTGTCTTTATAAGACATACCGTACGTTCCGGGCTCAGAGTCCAATGGTGCTAGGTGCTGGAGCCGTAGTTTCGACTGCTCTGGGTGGTACGCCCGGAACTTTCGACCTCTCAGACCGGAACACGGACGGTATATATCCCGTAAGCACGGTTTACTCGGCCGGAGTTTTTTTTTTTTTCAGTGTCCTACATTTTCAAAATTTACATTTTTATCATAATCCTAATTACTTACCAATTTTGACCAACAAATTTAACGTAACAAAAGCTTGGTTTTTTAGGGGGAAAATATTGCATTCGAGAGCAGTTTCGATATCAGTTTCGAATGCGATATTTTTCTTCTAAAAAACCACGCCTTCTTTACGTTGAATTTGTTTATCAAAATTGGTAAGTAAATTCTTCAGTCTCCTGACAACAGAATTGCGATCTCAAACTTCGAGAAAAATGACGAGTAGCTGGAAAAATGGAACTAATCGATGCGATATACCGCATGTCGTTCTTGCACAAAATAAAGCGACCATCGAATCACCTTAAAACACGCTCGTGGCTATCGAAATCAGCTCATTTTAAGTCGTTCCCCCAAGCTCAGCGGAACACATAAATTGCGGAAAAATGATGATTATTTTTTTCTCAATAATGAAATTAATCTGACAACGCTGTTTTTGATTTACATGAAGCAAGTACGAGCGTGGGAGGCGGGTCAGCCGTCTTGTCAATCCGGGCCTGGGATGCGATGGCAGAATGAAAAATCGCGACTGCACAGTGCAGAGCAGCCGACATGTTTATTGGAGACGGATAGCTCTACAAGCGTGGCGTAGCGTGGATATGCGTCATGAGATTAAGCCGCTCCGCTCTGTGCAGCTTTCAAAATCCGTGCAATAATTCCGCACTAACTCTTAGTTTTAAGCTGGCTTTCGCACATATCGGCACGGTATCCGATAATAGTGTTTGGGCAGGTATAGAGCCTTTTTTAAATGGACCATTTATCCAATGACGCACAGTGGATCGTGTCGATCAGAGAGGTCGGACATGAAATGTTTTTAACTAAAACTGCAAATTTTTATGTTTAATTCATCTCATTTTAAATTTCAAGGGGTGTCTCTGAAAGAAAATCTAACAAGAAAACCACTGGAACCACTTTTAAAACCTCAAAGTTTTGTATGAACGGAGCCGTTTTTAGTCCAGCACTTGAAAAATGAAATATATACTTTCATAAATGCAGAATAACGCCACCATTGAGCGCAAAGAGAATCTTAACTTTTGATTGGGTGAATTTACTGTGGTTTAATGATATTTCACTTCTAAGTTGTGTAAATAAAAATATCATTTAATTTTCAAAAAAATTTCCGGTGTAATTTAACGCCTGTTTAAACATTTGACCTTTGCCCCGAGAGATTCTTGAGAAACGTGTAGTCCTAAAAATCTCCAATTTACGATTGACAAGGATAGAACTCTCCGCCAATACATCAATACACTAAAACCTTCAATCTATCTTCGATCTTTCTCAGTATCGTGTTTTTAAGCGGTGCTCATCCGCAGTCAGATAAATTTACATAAATTAGGTCAAATAATATCCTCCCATTAATGTGTTCTCGAAATGGCGAAAATTATTTGTTTAAAATTCATTACTTTTATCTCCTCATCCGTCAAAATTACCCCCTCTTCTCGGTTCTCATTTTCCTCACCGTATAATTCCGAACGAGAATGCAGTTACGTCATAAAAGCATTGGCGGATCCAGCAATTTGGCAACACTGGATTTCCTCCATTTAAACCTACGGATATATATCGATTCTTGGAGGGGCCAGGTGCTCCGTCAAGAATCGATTATTTAGCATAGGTTTAAATGGAGGAAATTCGGTGTTGCCAAATTTCTGGATCCGCCTCTGCATAAAAGTTCCGATTCTCACGAGTTGGTAACGATATTTTCTTCCATCTAAGTCTACTGAAAATAGTAGATTCAAGGTGAGGCAATCTGCCTCGATAAATATAGATTATCTCACATGCGTTTCAATTGGTGAGGCCTAGTTTTCCAACTTGCAAAAATAGCCTCCACCGGGAAATCCCGTTCCATCAAAAGTTGTCGCTAACTTCTTTCGCGATAAGCTTGACCTTGTTGCAGCTCTCAAACTAGTTTAAGGGCAATAATAAAAGTTTATTCCGGGTGAGAAAATATGATTTTGAAGTCGGGAAGTTGAACACTCGAGAGGAGAAGTTGTGGGGAGCGACGAAGTTTAATCTGTGTGAAGCACGGTTGTCTATCTTTTGGGGTAGGCTCCAGGGTGATTGATTGAAAAGGAAGTTTTGACGCTCTTCGCGAAGCGGTGTTATGATCTTGAGCCCAACTCATTATCAGACACATGGATTTAATAGGTCGCCTCTGTAACTGCGTTAAGGTTGACTGGAAATATTCAATTCAACCAATATTAAACAACATACTTACAAACTAGACATTTTAAGTCATTCTTTCATATACGTACGTACGTGGAAAAGATTGTATACTCGTCACAGCCAGTGGCTGGTTAAAAAAGCGTACCGTGCGGTAGTTAGAGTTGAAGGACATTTCGACAACGATTTTTTGTCCGCACACCGCACGCTCCTAGTAGTTTATGTCCACGCGTTTTTTCAGCAGAGGAGCTCGTGCCGTAGTACCTTGATTTATTTTGCAAAGCTTCGTACTCTCAAAGGGCGCCTATTATTCTTAAAATGTTGGAGCCCCTTCAATTTCGTTTGATACTGTGCAACATCTCTGTTGTGGAATAGTTGCTTGAGGCGCCGTGGCACGCTGCGGTGCGGCGAGCAGCTGGCCAACTCCCAAAGCGCATTGGCGCCTACAAACCTAAGGGGATACTCCAAGCGTTGCACAATGCGTGAAGTATCCCCTTAGGTTTGTAGGCGTTAGTGCGCGTTTTGCGCCGCCGCGGTAGCACTAGCACACCGCTCCGCTCGGTGTAGGCTCTGATATTTAAAATTGCGGAGTTGGCGTTTTTCAGCTCTTGATTTTGAAATGTATGCACACTCTGCATGGATTTCCCTCATTTAAATTGATGAAAGGAAAATATAAAATGTGTTTTGTAAATATTAAGGTGGTTGCGTGTCAAATTTAATGATCCCCAAAGCTTTTTTAATTATTTCTTTTATATTTTGTGCTTTTACTGTGCTGCAACGTGTGTACGCGCAACCAAACGCTTAAAATTGGACGTATTTGATTTTAAAAGATCGATGTACGTACGGGTTAAAACTAATGATTGCAAGCTTCTTCGTTTTTTTTCCCCATTTTTATTCATTTTTGTATAGTTTCTTTCAACACAAATTTTATTTTCCGCGTGGACGTAAACTACTGGACAAAACAGGTGCGCGGACAAAAAATCGTTGACGGAATGTCCTGAAACCGTAGTTACGATAACTACCGCGGTAGAGGACACAACTAAACCGATAGTTAGACTGCATTTTGCAATTTTGAACTATAAATTCTGGCTCATCTGTAAAACACTTATGTGCATAGGGAAACTAATGGCACATACGTTGTTTTTAAACCGGGCCAGAATTTATAGTTCCAAATTGCAAAATTCAGTCCAGTTATACAACAACTACAATCAATAAGGTCAAGACTGAATCGCACTCAATATATTTCACAACACTGACGCGCTAAACGCGATAAGAGCTGAAATGTAATACTTTGCCTCTTTCTTGCATTTTAGTTGAAAAAAGTCCTACTTTCTGTAAGAATTCATCATACTTTACGGGTTCAATTGCAAATATAGTTACGTTAGAGGAGAGAGTGGGACGAGATTATGATGTGATAAAGCCGATCTTCGGTAGTATATTAAAATGTATAGTTTAATGATGTTCTTATGCGAAGAGGAACGATGGCTACCAATAAAAAAATCTGGAAAATTATAACACAGTGACAAGACTTATTACTCCGAGGGCTGAAAGCTTGTTGAACAAAAACTGGCGAGAGAGTTTGGAAAGTTGCGGTATCTCATTAAAGTAATTGAAGCGGATTCAGTGAAGCTTATGATTGAGTTGGAGGGAAGTTAGCTGGCCGACTTGGCGGGATATTGTTTGACGGGAAAAGTGACATTTCAAGACGAGGCCCGTTAGTGTCGCCCCTGTTCGGAGCAAATAGAGCTCGACGCCTCGTAATTTTCCGCATGGCTCAGCATTCAAATATTATCGTGTCAATTTGCTGAAACTCCCGCCGACCCGAGGCCGAAGGAAAGTGTTGCTCCTCTCTCGAAATATAGGGTTTTTGCAAATAATTCAAAATATCCTGAAAAAGAAACTTGGAGATGAGAGCCGTGGTATTCACGCGCAAGAATCCGAAGTCATGAGAAAGTGGAGAACGTGAGGTAAATCGGTACGACAAAAGGAATTCTTCCGAAATAGGGGGAGGAACGATATATTTTAGAGGCGTTTTAGTATCTGTGTCTATTTACAATTATTAATTTAAAATAGCTTTCCCTTGTATACATTTGATGCTTCAAACGTAACAAAGTTTTAATGACATTGAGCGTTCTAACAATGATCCTACTTTTTTGGATAGGGTACTTTCCGGTGACAAAACTGGGATGTGGGGCTACGGTATGGGGACGAAACTCCAATCATCCATGTGGGTTGAAAAAGGTAGTGCAAGACCGAAAAAAGCGTGACAAATTCGGTCAAACATGAAAATCGCAGACCACTCATGAGGTTTCCTTACTTCAAGCCACGTACCAACAAAGTAATTAAAAGTTTTCAAATTTGTGAATGTAGCTTTCTTAAGTATGTATTCAGCTATCATAAAAGTTCTAAAATACCTATCGGACGCATGGTGTGCTATTGTTCGCCAAAATCCGGTTTCTTGTTAAACAAACCTCGTATGTCGATAGTTTTTCAATTTAAATTATTAATTTTTTTAAATTGATTTTGAAAACCTTCCAAGCTTGTTAAAAAGTCTATTTATAGATCTTGTGTATCATACTCTGTGGGAGGACAAGAAACTATGGCGCTCAGGTGTCGCAGAGCACCAGAGAGCGCTAGGGAAGCGGCTATGTGCCTATGTAAAGGTTCCAAGTCAGGAATATTTATTTTGAGTATAAAACTGGGTATTGGGCGTAGTCTCTTACATATACATTCAGCCTTTGTGAATGAGTAAAACTTCGAACTTGCTTTATTCAGCTCGACCTTGATAAGACTTGGTTCCCCACGGTTAAACTCGATCCAATTTAGTAACTAGAATTAAACCGACCGGAACAGAGCAACAAATCGAAGAGAAATTCCAAGTAGGAACACTAGCAAAATGTTCGTCCTCAAATTACGATACTTCTACTAGTTAAAGTTCGTCCCTGTTTATTCGCAATCACATGAGCTCCAGTCAATGCTGGAAATCGTGTCTCGTGCAGTTGACGCACAGAGAAAACATCGCATACGGCTCGTGGAGTGGGTCGATTGTTGAATCGTTATCGAATGAGCTGGGTCGATAAGTCCCTATCGCGGAAATAGTGTATATCGATCGAGATAAAAACAGGGATTCGATAAACATATCGATAAAGATTCAACAGTCCATGCCCAGCGTGAGCTTGGAGTCGAGCAGAAACAAGCTGCACTCAGAACTACGTGCCTCAGGAGAAAAAAGAAGGAAGGGGGGAGGGGTAATGACAGCTTACCTTTGTCGTCGGGACTGAATTCTAATTCAAAATTCGCCTTTTCTTCGTCCGTGTTCGTCATCATTTGCTTCCTAGTTTTGTGGCCACGGAAAACGGCTTGGATCTTTGTTGCCGCTTCGACTGTGTTCTGGTCCTCCGGATCGAATTCTGAAAAAAAAGAAGAAAAAATATCATTAGTAATTTACTTTCGACCCAGTGCTATCATTTCATGTTCGTCAAAAGCTCTGGGGCTCGGAACTGTTTTGTTCCAATTTATCCCACTCTATGACCGTCAAAGGTCCCTGGAAACTTTTTAGATTTTCTCAAAAGTTCCGAGAAAGTTCCAGAAAATTCAAAAGATTCAAAGATTTCAAAAGTTCCGGGAAAAATTCAGGAAAATCTCAATAGTTCTGTAATTCGGAAAGTTCCGTAGTTTCGTAGTTCCGGGAAACGAGGCTCTGTTTCGTGCTCGAAAGGCTTGCACGTAAAAAAAATGCGCTAATCAAACAAAATCATGAAAGATAAATGAATGAACGGTTAAGACGCGGAATCCTTTTGTCAAAAATTAATTATTATCTCACAACGCAAAAGCCGTAATTAACCTCCCGATGCCTAAGCTGGGTCGAATTGACCCGAGGCTTGCTAACAAAATGTGGCCGGCGGGTTGTATGGAACCGGTTTAGCCTTAGACATAGTATAGGCATAAATTCTTAGCAAATAATCAAACAGAAAAAAGTCGAGTGTGCATCCAGACAAATATGGGAGAAATAAAATCGGATTTGTTCTTTTAACTTTTCTCCCGAATCTGAGCGACACCTCATTGGAAGCAAAACGAGCGGGGCATTGCGAGTTTACGTCTCGTGCCATCATGCGCGCCTTCAATTTTGCGAATGCAACACGGACATCCATCAAGTCCGAATAGTTGTATCTCTGCGCCGTCATCAGCACTCGTACTTAACCATGCCTCATTTCCATATTGTGTTCGTTTCCACTTGTCTTAGTGGTGCTTTAATGACTACTTGAGCAACACAGCCGAAGATCTTAGCTTCTCTGCCACGACAGTTAGTTTAATAATATTGGTCCGAAAAACAAGGTCTCATGCAAGAATGGAACCATGAAATCATATGACAGCACTATACTGATGATCCCATCAGCTAGTCCTGAAATGTTTTATCAGAGCTTCATCAGTAGTTGTAACTGATTTCCTACTGTACAGCATTTCCAAGGAAAAATTATTTTCAAAGGAGTTACCACTCTAAGAAGTAAATATTCTGCTTTTACTGAATTTTACTCCGAAAGATATCCATTTTAATTTTTTCTCTCTTTTAAATCTCAACGTGCATTTTACAAAATCCCTAAGCACAGCTTATTTGAAGATAAATAATTCAGAATTTAAAAAAGATCTGTACACGCAGGATCAATGAATAAAAACACAAAAGCACCTCAACCAGCATCACGATGATTGTGCCCGACTTATGGATTGAGGACAATTTTTTCAACGAATGCCTAAGAAAGATTTCGTTTAGTAAACACTGATCGCATTCTGAATCTCGTAGAAAATGTTTGAGCGAAGAGGGATTACTTTCATCCTTCGGTATTTAGTTTAACAATGAAAACAAAACGGAAGGACTATTAACGGAGTAAGGCTCGTTCGCAGAGAGAGATAGTTGACTGAGCGTTAGCAATAGGATTAGAGTCCCGCAGCTGCCTTTGAGCCTTAATCAAATTTCTGCTATTCCGGTTTCTTTCAGAGAGAGACCAATCAAAAACGACAGGGGCCATGTTGTCATATTGTTGTAGGTCATCTTATCATCAATTACTCGCATGTTTGTTAAATGTTTTAAACCTACGTTAAATAATTACTCTCTGCCCTACTCACTTTTATTTGATCTTCGTTTTGTTTGATTGTTTGAAGTGAAGACATTTCTTTAACCATCGTAGTTAGTTTCTTAATTTGTTTGTTGTCATGTAATAATAAAATTCTTCTTTAAATTGGTGACTCCTCAGCATTTTGACCTGTACAACTTCTTTGAGGTTAATAAGCCCGAAAACCAAACGCAGGCATATTTTTCGTGACCTATTACATTTTTTATATGCTTGATCTGTAATAAATTATAGTATGTGCGAGGGAGTATGAGCGGGGGGGGGGGGGTAGTTCAAGGGAGAAATGTTAAGAACAGGGCAGTTGATATTCTACAAATGGACGTTTTTATGCTTAAGGGCATTATGTTGCACTCAAGTCCCATGCACATAGTTTTTTTCAGCATTAATACGTCCAAATCATGACGAAATGATTTATTACGAAATCAAAATAACTACATTTAATTTACAACTCAAATCGATGTTCCGGTTTTGTGAGAATGATACCGAATTTGATGTAATTTATATGAAATGTTTGTTTATTTTATCGTTCGTCCAATTCAAGATTCCTATTTAAATATCCTTTCTCTTCATGATTCAATTCCCATAAAAAAACTAGTCAAAATTTTGTCGTTCAGAGTTGGACTGTAACTATCCGATCATTTTGATTTTCCCACTCTCTTCCCACAGAGTATGGGTGACAATCAGCGTGGATAACAAACCCACCCATAATCTTCAGTGGTGACAACTGAAACAGCACGTGCGGCTTCAAACATACGAAGAAGAACATATTTGCCTGTCACAAATTAGTCTGATAGAAAACAAAAATGAACTCCAAGATCAATATCCAATAATATTCACGTTGATGGCAAATATGACTAAATGGCAAGGGTGCATGATAAGAACAGCAAAAATCTTGGCGTTGACTGGAAGAAAAATATTCTGGCGCCAGGAATGACTTCCGCGTATGTTCCAGCGTTCAAACAAAGGGATTCCAGGGACTCCATCTTAGCGGGCACTGGGCCCCGAGGGGAGAATAACTCCTCCATGCCGTGTCGTTTTCCTTGGCACCGCACAGACCTCCTAGCTGAAGCATCTGCGTCATTTTACAACTAATGCTCCACTGCGTTCGTATGCTAATATTTTCTTGCACCGACCAAGTCTTGCAGGTCTTGCAGGCGTAGCTGTCTAATTTCCGATTCGGACTTTCCTCGATGCCTCGAGAGGAAATAACGTGTACAGTTGTCTTTGCCCTTCTTTGTCTTTTCTGCAACCATTACATATCATTCTTATGTATCAAGAAACGTTTGCACTTTCTTTATTCCGGTATAGATACAAAAATCATTATAATAAATGCATGAGAAGTTACTACAACATTATATAAATGTTCATTTACCAAAAAAGTTCAAATGTTTATAAGCTCAGAACGAATAAGCATTATAGTTCCAGTTTCAGTTCTTTTAGTCAGTTTCCAGTTTTTTTTAGTTCCAATTAATCCTCTAATATATTTCTTTTTTACCGGTTGATATAATGAAATTGTAACATTTCGAAACGTTCCGGATGTTTTTATTTATCCTCTGCTTTTTTGCAGCCGTCCCCCAAATTAAGTTGTTATTTTATTTTGTGTTTTGGCTTATTTAGTTGTTCTTCACTCTTTTCTTCTTCAGTTAGTCTATCATTCCCCCTCTTAGTCTACACCAACTACCCCTCTCAACCAACAGAATCGCTTCATTTTCCCTTAGTGTGATTTGCGTATCGCTTTGTCTCCCAATTTTAATTATGAGCCCGCAGACCGAGCTCATTTCATCCACTTTGCGGGGATTCCTGCCGAAAGTATTCCTTCATTTCAGAGCGTCTCCTTTTCGGGAGCGCAGTAAATTAGGGTAATAGCACCCTCGTAAAAGCGGATAACCGGTCCTCGGAACCATTCGGCTGCCTTTAGTGCGCTCGGCCACTAGATCGTACATTATTCAAAGGCCTCGTGTTTTGCTCGGATCCGCGGAGTTGCGGAAATTTGCAGGCTCGGCATCGACGCGTGTGGAGCACGTAACGGCGCACAGTGGATCCAGTCAATCAGAGAGGTCGGACATGAAATTTTTTACTAAAACTGCAAATTTTTATGCTTATTTCGTCACATTTCAAACTTTAAGGGATACTTCTAGACGAGAATTTCACGAGAAAACCAATGAAACAACTTTTAGTACTTCAAAGTTGTGTATAAACGGAGTTATAAGCGTTTGAAATTTCCACATTTTGTTCGATTTCTTTGATTGCCTCGATCCACTGTGCGGCGGTGCTGCTGCGCTGGCCCGGGGAAAAATCGGCTCATGAAAATTGAAAACGGGATCTCGGAGGTGGATTTGGGCGGGCGTTTAAGCGGCATTATGGGAAATTTAACGACTCAGCGCGGGAACAAAGGCGTGCCCCAGTTCGGCGCCAACCTCTAAGCCCTCTAACCGAGGATTTCGAAGCGACCCCCGGGCACACGTCGCTCAGTGTTTACTTGCGAATACAGGTCGATACAAGAATCACAAGACGCTATTGCCGTGTTCTCCGGGAGAGGAGTAGGTAACGCCAAAACTTTTGAAATGGAGCTTTTTCCGAAATTCGGTTAATTTATAATGAACCACTAGACGAGATCTGAACTAGAACAAAAGCCCTTGTTTCTTCTTCAAATCCCATGTAGAAAACAATCCACACAACGAAAAGTTTGAAAAGTAACTCCTGAACCGTCGGTCTCCTGTGGTGTAGTGGTTGTAGCGCTAACTCTATGATCGGGAGGTTCTGGGTTCGATTCCCGGTCGCATATTCCCAAACCCCGCGTGAAATGTGAAAAATCTAGCCAGTCCTCAAAATCCTTAGCCGCTGCCTTCTGAGCCCTCCCGCGGTCGGCATGAGGCTCTTCAGCAAGTGGCCTTGGGCACTGCGGCCATCCTTTCTCCTTTCTCCCGTCTGATTGTCTCTTCAACCCTCCGAAATGAATGGGGGTGATCTCGCGGTCCACTCTTTTTGTTTTCCATAAAACATCGTCTTCCTCCTCAAAACAAGCCCTTCGCAGAGTTGTCACATGATGAGCGCATTTTTAAATGCACCATTGACTAGTACAAGAAAAACCGTGATTATTCGATCCACTTGGGATGATTTTTCAGGTCAGAGTCAAGTCATACGCTGTCTCTTCCGAAATGGATTTCAAATAACGAACATCGATGATATTGATGCAGGCGGCGTGTTGCCTCCTAAATCAGTGTCCAGGGGATGTTCGTGCCTGATTTGATTCATTGCAATGTTCCAGGGGATGTTCGTGCCTG